GTACTGCCTGACAGGGGCCCACAACCGCGTCTTCCAGGAGCAGTGCATTCGGCGCGCGCGCCCCGAGGGCAGGCGTCTGCTATGCACCGACGACGATTATGCATGAAACTTTGCGGCCGCGACGTTGCGCCCCCCCCCCACCCAAAGAAAAAGTGTTTACCTCAGCAGAGCACCCTCATGGCAGCACCCTAATACCTCATTGCCTCAGACATTACCCGAGAGCTGGATTCTGGAATAAATCGCGAGGAAGCCTTAGGCGAAACGGCTGCCAGGACGCCAGGGACGGGCGAGAGCACGGCCACGTGCACCCCTGGTGTACCTTACAGCGGATCGTGGCCGACTGGACCAAAAACGTAGCCAGCACTCCCGAGTCAATTGTGAGGGCGTCTCGGGCGAGACGGCCGCCAGACCAGGCCATCTTGGGCTCCTGGTCCCCTTTGTGGGACGTTTCTGAGTGGTCCTTTCGCACCAGTATGAAGTCGGGCCTGTCCCTCTACGGGAGACAGATTCAAGAATAGTTAAAAAATAGTATGTGGACGTTTCTTCGACTATGACTTGCCATCTTTGATTATTGAATCGCTTCGCTCATTCCGCCGGCCCATATTGCGCACCGCGGTGGCCTGGCCGAGAGGTCGTCGGCAGTGCGGAGCTGCATGGAGCGGCGGCCCCAAAACGTTTCCAGAGGCTCTCAAGAGGGCTTCAAGACGGCTTCAGAGCGCCTCAGGACAGCTCAAGAGAGCCCCAAGACGCACAAGGAGGGCCTCACAGAGTCTCAGAGCTTCCCAGGAGAGGCGCAAGGAGGCCACAAGATGCTCCCAAGAGGGCCCCAAGGAGGGCCTCTTCGAAGCTTCTTGTGAGCCTCTGGGGGGCCTCTTGGGGCCTCTTGAGGACCTTTTGGGGGCCTCCGTGGGCCTCTTGAAGGCGTGTTGGCGGCCTCTTGGAGCCTCCTGGGGACCTCTCTGGGCCACAAGCTCGAAATGTCCGTTCGGGTGCCCCGTCTGGGCTCGCTTTTAGAGCCGGCTTGGAGGCGCCTTGGGCCATCTTGGAGGTCTTTGGGACTGTCTTGGGGCCCTCTTGGGCCCTCTTGGGCTTATCTTGTTGGCTTGTTGGGCCGTCTTGGGACGATCTTGGGGGCGTCTTGGGCACGTTTGGGCGCTGTGAACCCCAGACGTCGCATATGCGAAAAATGTAAGTTCTCCTTCGGGGATGGGACGATTTTTGCTTGTTGGAGCCCTCTTGGAGAGCTTGAGGCTCTCTTGGGGCTTCTCGGCGGCCTCGAGGGCCGTATGAAGGCCATCCTGGGCGTCTTGGACCGCTCGTTCGGTGACTCGGAGCGCTTTTGGGCTGTTTTGGAGGCCTCTTGGGGCCCTCTTGGCGCGCTCTGGGGGGCCTCAGAGACGGCACCCAGGAGGAAAACCATCTCTGAGTAGCAGTGGCCGGGCTGCGGTCGGGCGGCGGTCGGGGTACTTTTCGCCGGGGGACCCCCAGGGGCCGCCCCGCGCGCGCGAACCAGGAAGAACTGTTAACTAGTTACCGGAGATCTTAGCACGCCTCTAGCCCGTTGGGCCGGCGAATTTGTTTGACTATTTGTTAGATTTCGTCCAATAGCCGCCTGTAGGAGGACACGTCCGACCTAACACCACTATGATAACCCTCTATCTAGCGAAACGCTGTTGGGGAAAAGCCACTCAGGATGAGATGATGGCCCTGGAGAAGGAGTCTGGTTTTCTGGCGGCCCCGTCTTCTGCGCGGGGTCGGGGGGAGATGTGGTTCGACAGCAGATGAGCCGATCCAGAGCCTTCGTGGCGTCGAGGAAGTGACAAACAATATGTTTTTTGGCATGCTGCATCCGTGGATGTCGCCTGCGATCAGAATGTTTGAGGCATTGCTGGATGAGCCAGGGCCCTGAAACGGCCTCCAGTCGCCGAGCATTGCGACGAAGCGCCTCCAGCGCGATTTTTGCAGCCGATGGAGGCGCGGGCTTCCTCGTTCAAATCGCCCCACCCGACCTCGCCGCGGGTACGTTTCGACCAGGACTTCGACGGGAACCGAGCCGTGGCGACGCGGAGCCCCAGAGGCCGGGGCAAAAAGCCTCGGACCTCCCGTCGGGAGCCTTCCGCCCGCTTGCTTCAAGACTCATCGCCGGGCCCCTCCCCAGGGCCCATCTCGGGGGCAACTCAGGAATGGAAACAAAAAACAGGCACACTTAATCTTCGATTCCCCAGAAAATATTGGAAAGTACGGGAAGTGGGGCGGAAGACAAAAACCCAAAAGATATTTCCAAACATGTGGAATCGTTTTCTTTGTGTGTATTTATTTGTGTGTCCCAGGGCCCCTTCAGCAACGATAGGAGGGGATAGGCACAGGGAGGGACGCATCGACTCCCCATCGCCCATTGATCGCCGACAGGGGCCCGATAGCCCCAACCTGCCCAGGAAGGTGCGGATCCACCATCGGAGGCCTATAGCGTCGGCCTATCGGCGATCTATCGCCGATGCCAAGTCGATGCTTCCCCCCCCTATCCTTGCCCCCCCCTATCGTTGCCCCTCACCATCGTGGCGTGGTTCTTTGTTCTGGATCGGAGGCCTAGCGTCGGAGGCCTAGCGTCGGCCTATCGGCGATGTGTCGCCGAGGCCAAGTCGATGCTTCCCCCCCCTATCCCTGCACCCCCCTTATCGTTGCCCCTCACCATCGTGGCGTGGTTGTTTGTTCTGGATCGCCTTCCCGACGGCCCCACGGCCCACGGCGGTCCCCCCAGAGAGAGCCCTTCGTCGCCGCGCCCCTGGCAGCGCACCTCGGCCCTCGACCTGTGCCCGCGCGCCCCGAGCCTCGCTCGCAGCCCGAGCGGTCCAGATCGGGTCTCGATCGGACGGTGTCGGTCCTCCAGCCCCGATCCTCGACCCCCAGGGATGAAGCAATGCCGTACACCTTAGGCGATGCTTAAGAAAACTTAAATTTTCGGCCAGAGTCTCGTTTATTCTTAATGTTTCAATGTAAATCCTAAGATTTGAATAGAATTTTTGGGTTTTTATTCAACTTCTGAGACTATGAATTTCTTAACCCATGATTTCTTAAGCATTTCGCAGGGTGCACACATGAAATCTCGGAGCTCCGCGCGGATTTCCTGGGCCGGCGCTGGGCCCTCGCCCCGGCGCGCGGAGCGCGCCAGGGGCGGCGCCGGAGGCGCCGCCAGGGGGCCCAAGTGCCGATGCGAGAAATCTGCGCGGAGATCCGAGTCTGTATGTTGAGGTCGTTGTTTGTTCCCCTGGATACTCGATCCAAGCGTTCCCCGGCGTCGAGCCTCGATCGTCTGTATGTTGAGGTCATTGTTTGTTCTCCTGGATACTCGATCCAAGCGTTCCCCGGCGTCGAGCCTCGATCGTCTGTATGTTGAGGTCATTGTTTGTTCCCCTGGATGCTCGATCCAAGCGTTCCCCGGCGTCGAGCCTCGATCGTCTGTATGTTGAGGTCATTGTTTGTTCCCCTGGATGCTCGATCCGAGCTTTCCCCGGCGTCGAGCCTCGATCCCAGGCGCAGGGCCCCGTCCATGCGGGCACTGCCGATCCAGGACGTGGGCGCCCCCTCCGACGAAGATTGTAGCCGCGGGCCGAAGCATTCTCCAACCCTGGCTTTCGCCTGCTGGATCTGGCAAAGTTTTGGCTTGCAGTGTCCGGGTGTTCGGCCACGCGCAGACGGGGGTAGGGGGAGGGGGGAAAAGGCTTAGAAGGGGCAGGCCCTCTCTTAGAGGGGCTTAAAAACACCCCTCCTTCTTAGAAGGGGCGGGCCCTCTCTAGAGATGTAGGGCCAGCACCTTCTGAGAAGCGGCCTGCTTCCAAGAAGCCTTCCCCCCTCCCCCCACCCCCTTGTGCGCGCCGCCAAGGTTTACACCTCGACCCCGAAATACCTCGGCCCTTGACCCCGACCCCGCCCACCTCGGGCCCCACAACTCCACGACTCTTTGCGCCCGTCAGTGGCGTCTCGTACGCAGAGATGTCTCTCTCTTCGACTCGTTGTCGTCGTCGTCGTCGTCGTCGTCGTCGTCGTCGTCGTCGTCGTCGTCGTCGTCGACGTCCCCATTGTCCTTGTCCTCCTCCTCCTCCTCCTCCTCCTCCTCCTCCTCCTCCTCCTCCTCGTCTCGTCCTGCTGGTTCCTGATGGCATGAGGTTCCTGCGGGTGCTTCCCTCCTCCTCCTCCTCCTCCTCGTCCTCGCCTCTTTGCTATCCGTCATCGTCGCTCCCCCTCCTCTCCCCCGCGGCGCCCCATGTGCTGTTCCGACTTGGCTGCGTCGGTCCGCGGCGGAGCTGACCGTCGGCCGAGCCGACGAAGGTGGCGGCGGCGGCGGCGACGGCGACGGCGACGACGTCGACGACGTCGCCTCCAAAGAAGAAGTAAAGGCAAGCTTGCAAAAGTGGCCGGGGCCAGCCCTTCCACTCTTCCCGGCCCTGGCCAGATTCTTTCAAGCTGTTCCTGTCCTGGCGACCTCATTCCAATGTTTCGGACTCGTTTCAGCCCCTGGCAGTTTTCCCAGCCCTGGCCACTTCTACTTTCGTTGAACTTTCCACTTCCACTTTTTGCCAGCTTCCCTGTGCATAGACACTTGGTGTCAGGTCCACGCTGTTTTGTGGGATGTCTCAGCAGTTGTTTGTTTCTAGGCTCCCCTCGTAGGACTCGGACAAGTTGGTTTGCACAGCATTTCGCTCACCCACCCCTCCTCCCCTTGTCGCCGCCCTGCGTGCAAGTGAGTCCCGACTTGCCCCAGGTGAGGCTAAAAGGCGTGCAAGTGTGTCCCGACCTTCGTCATGTTTAGATTCTAGATTTTCTTTCGGTCCTCGCCACGCCTCTCCATGCAAGCAAACTCGCCTGAATCTAAAGAACAAGTGCCTTTTGGTGTTTTTGTCTGTCCCGTGGCCCAGTGAGTCCCCAGGGGCCGAGGAGGTCCCACAGCGGTCCGTCGTGACCTTGTCGCGGCGCGAGGGGCCCCCCGAGAGCGCGCAAAACAGGCGCACAACCGCAAGAAGACCAGCAGACGCGCCAACGTGGTGGTCTTCGGCGCCGCGTGCGACAACGGCGTGGAGAGGGAGGCCATCAACGCGATTGTTGGATCTCTCTTGATGAGATTTCGAAGACCCTCATGCTGAGATCTCGGGGCCTCGCTTGACGAACCTTCTGTCGTGGTTTTGAACCCTTCCCGCATCGCTACTGCTCCAGACGCACCCAAGCCAGCGTCTCCCTGCCACGCTGGCGCCGTCGCCGTCGACAGCACCTTCGCCGCCGCCGACGTCGTCATCCAGGTTTCTGGGTCATTCCAGGAGGATCCCTGGATTCTCCTGCTTCCCCCTTCTCCTCGACCCCCCTCCATCATCCCTCGTCCTCCCCCTCTCCCACGCTCTCCTTCTCACCATCAACGCCGTCCTCCGCCTCCCCCTGCTCCCCCTCTCATCCGCCGTCCTCCCACCCCTCCCTCTGTGGTCTGTCCCTCACGCCAGTGGCCACGGGGTGCTTCTCCTCCGGTCTTCCCCCTCCCAGCGGGCTCGCGCGCAGAGAGGAGGGGGAGATTAAGAGGAGGAGGGAGGAAGAGGAGCACGAGGAGGAGGAGGAGGAGGAGGAACGGGTTGAGCAGGGAGGAGCAGGGAGGAGCAGGGAGGAGCAGGGAGGAGCAGGGAGGAGGGGGGGAGGCGTAGTAGGGAGGTGGTGGTGGCGAAGGAGGAGGTGGTGGAGGAGGAGGAAGAAGAGGAGGAGAAGGAGAAGGAGGAGGAGGAGGAGGAGCAGGAGGAGGAGGAGGACCAGTGTAAACCCAAGACTCGACGAAGCTGACAAAACACACGGTTGTTTTCAGTGAGACATCCCTCCTTCTCCGCCTCCTCCCCCATCCCTTGTCGACGTCGTCGTCCTTCTCGGGGGGGAGGGCGAGGAGGACACACAGGAGAAGGAGGAGCACGAGGTAAGGGGACCAGAGGATGGCTTTCGGTGTCGCTTTACTTCGAAGGGCGTCACAGATCCTACAGGGGTAGAAGCTGACTCGCCGTGCCCGCATCATTGGGAGTGCGGCCCCGCAGGGACAGCATGCCTGCGTTCCCGAAGCTGTTTCGGCCCGAGAGGCTCTCAGAAACGAGGCGCCCCCCCCGCCCCCGCCTCGCGTCAAAAGCCCGTGCTCCTCCCCGCCACTTGCCGCTTAGGAGGTGACCACCGAATCGACTACCCGTCGAGGAAGAGCAAAATGCACAAACATAAACTTTCGGAGCTCCGCGCTGATTCTGTGGATCTGGGATGGACCCCAGTGGCGGCGCTGCCCCTGGCGCGCTCCGCGCGCCAGGGAAGGGGCTTATCCAAGAAATCCGGGCGGACCTCCGAATGTTTATGGTCATGCAGATGTTCTTCCTCGAAGCAGACTCCGAGACGCTAGGCTGGCAGCGCCCTGCAGAGATGACGTTGGAATGCTCCGGCTGCAAGAAGTTGGTTTCGGAGGGCGACTTCGGCTCGTGCTACTCGGTGTACCGGTGTCGGAAGCACCATATCTTCATCAATTGTTGCTCTGATTGCCACCGCACGTTCGAGAAGAGGTGCGACAAGGTCCTCTGCTGCGCTGTCAAGCAACAGCACAAGCTCAACAAGGACGGTCAGACGTCCGCACTGCGCAAGCTGCCACCTTGCGAGCGCGACAAGTTCAAGCAGCTGAGCGAGGCGCAGCAGGCGGGGCTGATGATCTGCCCGGAAGAGGTAAAAGCCTCCGAGCGGTCGGTGCCACATTGCGCCCACATCCTCTCCCGCAGCGGGGGCACCGGACAGCTCGACGGCGCAATCGAGCAGGACACACAAGCACCACCACCTCCTGCAAGACAGGTGGCCCCACAGCCCATGGGGTCGGAGGAGCTGCTCGGAGACGACATGCTCGTCGCACTCCCGAAGGACTGCGAGGGGGCCGACGAGCTCGTTCTGGGCAAGAAGAAGAAAAAGGCGCCCAAACATAGAAGGGACAGGAAGGGGACGCCGATCAGCCTCGACTACAACTTCGGGGCGCGGCCGGGCGACCAGGAGTGGGCCGGGCTCGCCGGTGAACGACCTCCCGCCCTCCAGACGCCCCCTCCCTCGCCGCCAGCGGGCTACAAGCACAGGTCCTCGCCCCCCCAGCAGGCGCGGCCGCAGAAGAGCACAGCCCAGGTCGGAGGGCGCCACCCATACACCTTCACCGATCCTATGGCGAGGTCGGAGCTGGGCCCAGGAGCGGTGCACACGCCTTCCTGTCCAAGCCAGGAGTGCGTCACGCCGAGCCGGGTCCAGGATGGGCCTGGCCAGGATCGATGCGCGTGCAGAGCTGGCGCCCTCCAGGGAGAGCAGGGCGACCTCCTGCCCAGCACGCCGGCCTGCCCCAGCGGGGAGGCGGGCGGCCGGGGCCCCTCACACGGAACCGCCGCGGTGGAGCGGCTGCGGCAGGTGTCAAGCAGTGGCGAAGCGTCCCGGCTCGCCTATAGGCCCACCAAACAATGTTCTAAGAACTTTTCGTTGTTCCCACGAAATGCTCTTAGAACATTTCTGGCTAGGACTGTCTTGTTTGAACACATCGGGATTATGTTCTAAGAACATTGCTTTTGTTCTTAGAACGCTTTTGGGTTCTAAGAACATGTCGTGGTATGACTATAGGAATGCCGGGACGGTCGGTCCCTGCTCAAAGGTGGGGACCCCCGCCAGGAGCCAGGCCGAGCAGCCCTCTGGGCGGCCCGGCCGGGGCGAGGGCCCCCCCGCGCGGGCGGCCCTGGCCGACGTGCCCCAGCGCAGGGAGCCAGGGGCGGCGGCGGCGGAGGCGGCCAGGGTCCCCGACTCGACTACACACGTAAGAGTGAGCCTTCGCCGGAGGGACTGTTGGTGCGGACCAATTGGGGTCCCCCGATCGCCGAGCGCGATGCCATAGTAGCGTCTTGCGCGCTTGTGTTTGGTCCTCACACGGCCCCCAAAAAGCCGCGCACCAAAGGAGGTCACTCTTACCCGGGGTCACTCTTCTTGCGTGTAGCCGACTGATCCAGACATCAAACATTCTCGCGTGGTAAATAATTACGACGGAAGGTTTTGGACCGTTTTCGGCCTCCAGCGGGCCTCGGGACCGTCAACAAGACTACTTGGGAGGAAATGCCGTCCCTGGGGAAGGGGTCGGGATTTCCAGGGGCCCGCGTGCCGGAAAAGTCAAGACATGACATGTTTGGGAAGCCAGGGAATTACAAGCCAAGACTTTGAATAGCCCATGGCTGCAGCTTTCTCGTCGGAGGAGCAAGAGGTCATGATCAGGATACGGTTCAAGATTTCCAGGATTTCCCAGATGTTCGCATGATCCACGCGGGTTGCTGAAACGAAGTTCGCTATATACTCCAAAAGTCCTGGATGGTATGTTGAGCCAAACCTCTGACAAGGCTTCGGGCTGCGCAAACACAGTCCCCCCCGGAGGTCGTCCCTGCTGTCCTCAACAGGCCCTCCGAGAAGTACCAGCTGGCCTCAGCAGGCGTGGGCCCCCGATTAGACTGGGGCAGTCTCGAAGCTGGGACTACCTGGCGGGGCCTGTTGAGGCCAGCCGGGACTACCTCGAGGAGCTGTCTGTGCGCAGCCCGAAGCCTGACCAACCGCATCATGACACCGTTCTCTTCCTATCTCGGGCCTGCCAGCGTCCAGGCCCATCAAAGTCACCGCTTGGCGGGGCTCAGAGGTTGCCACCAGGGCAACCGAGGCCATACACGCCGCGCAGGCCCCTGGGGACGATCGAAGGATTTGCGTAAGCAGAAACGTTCGAAGGTTTGCACGGGTATCTTGGATCTGCGCTAGCTGGATCCCCCTCCCAAAGCGCGCCAGGGGCGGCGCCGGAGGCGCCGCGAGGGGGGTCCAGCACAGATGAGTTGAATTTGGCCGTCTTAGTTTTTCGCGGCCTTTTCGGGGAAACGTCAGATTCGAGTTCGCCATAATTCGGGTTTACCGACGCTTTTTGACGAGCACGTCAGCGATTTTGACGGTCCAGTTTTCATGGGACGTTTGCAGCGGAGTTCGTGTCAATGTTCAGACTGGGCCTCGTCATTTTCCTGACGGCTTCGGCAGGCCAACCCTAGTCCACCGAACCCGAGATTTACGTCTCTCCGAGCGTTGGAAGTCTGGGTTGGGCATCGTCCGTACCTGAGCGACAAAACAAACGGGGTCAATTGCGCGGACATTCGCGCGTAAGTTGCTCGCGTAAGGTCGCGCGTAGACGCCCTCGTCTGCAATGTGGCATGCCAAGCTGGCGGCCCGCGTAAGCCACCACGTAAGGTCGCTACAGTGGAGACCCATGCGACGAAACACCTTGCTCGCCTCCATGGTGCCCTGGGTTTCTGGGGCTTCGATGGCTTTGCGCTCGAAAGCGTGCCGTTCGCACAGCAAAAATCAATGGGCGCCCTGGGGTGTCAGGGTTGGGTGTCTTGAGGAAGGTTTCTTGTGGTCGGGGCCATTGCTGCATGCCATCGTGCGTAGTAAGGCCCCTCCTCCTTGTCGTCGCTCGCGAGGCCTCGCCTTGCGAGGCTCGGCCCGTGCCCCGGCCCTGCCCGCCTGGGCCGGCGCCCGCGCTGCCCGAGGGCTGGCGGGCGGTCTGGTGCCAGGACCGGCGCAGGGGCAACGCTGCAGCGGGGGCTCATGCTCCTCCTCCTCCTCCTCCTCCTCCTCCTCCTCCTCCTCCTCCTCCTCCTCCTCCTCCTCCGCCTCCTCCTCCTCCTCCTCCTCCTCCTCCTCCTCCTCCTCCTCCTCCGCCTCCAGGGTGCCCTGGGTGTCCAGGGCTTCGGTGGTTCTGCTGTGGAAGGAGCGACGTGCCCACACCAGAAGTCAGTGGGCGTCCTGGGGTCTCAGGGTTGGGTTTTTCTTTCTTGTGCAAGGTTTCTGGTGGTCGGGGCCCCTGCTGTATCCAGGGGGCCAAATACCCCGCTCCCGCTTCCAGGCAGAGACAGGTCAGACCACGCGCCTCCTCGTCAAGCGCCCCAGGGGTAGCCTGGTATCGATTGGTTCCCAGCTGGAAGCGGGGGTGGTCAAAAGCGAGGCAGGTTCGCCTGCCTGTCAGATCGATAGGGGGGGGGATAGGCACAGGGGGGGTTCGGACTCCTGGGGCCCTCGCTGGGCCCCGGGACCGTCGAAGGCTCGCCATGATTGGCTAGACGTAAGAGTGACCCTTCGCCGGGGTGACCTTTGGTGCGGGCACAGATGGGCCCTCAGATGGCTGAGAACGAGGCGGTAGCAGCGGCTTGCGCGCCCAGGTTTGGTCTCCCCGCGGCCCCCCAAAAGCCGCGCACCAAAGGTCACTCTTACCCAGGGTCACTCTTGCGTGTAGCCGACATGAGGGCAAAGAAGAAACAACGGCATAAGCATTCATGTTCGCCGGCCCGCGCGGATTTCTCATATCTGCGCTGGAGCCCCCTGGCGGCGCCTCCGACGCCGATCCAGGCGATCCAAAAAATCCACGCAGAGCTTCGAAAGCTTATGTGTATGTTGTTGATGTTGTTGTTGTGGTTCTCGTTGTTGTTGTTGTTGGTGGTGGTGGTGGTGGTGGTGGCGGTGTTGCTGATGTTGTTGTTGTTGTTGTTGGTGTTGTTGCTGTTGTTGTTGCTGTTGTTGTTGGTGTTGGTGTTGTTGTTGTTGGTGGTGGTGGTGGTGGTGTTGGTGTCGGTGTTGGTGTTGGTGTTGGTGTTGTTGTTGTTGCTGTTGTTGTTGCTGGTGGTGGTGGTGTTGTTGCTGTTGTTGTTGTCGTTGGTGGTGGTGGTGGTGTTGTTGTTGTTGATGTTGTTGTTGAACATTATTAATTCTAAAGAATAATTATTGTTGGGACCCCTGGTGCACGGCCCCCCTGCGCCGCCTAGGCCGCAGCTGCATTTTCATCATTTTCGTGAGGAAGCCTCAGGTAATTCGATGTGATCAAGATCCGGTTGTTTTGTTCCCCCCCGCTTTCCCTTGCAAAAAACACTATAAAATGACATTTCTTGTTCTAATATAATCAAATTTCAAGAATCCCTTGCAAAAAATAAGGTAAAGTGGACATTCGCGCGCGCAAGACGAAATCCTTCCAAAAGCTTAGTGTTCGGAGCGATTTTAACATAAAAACATCAAAAAACCAATGGTTTTTCAACAAAAAAATGTCAAAATCTCATCCCGCGCGCTCTTGCGGATTCGTAGGAAACCCAACACTTTTTAAACATTTCTGTCAAACGGGCTTTTGCGAGCAACTTTTTCGAACTTCTGCGACAACGGTTGCGCACCTGCCAGGGCCATCATCCCTGTCAAATAATACCATGCGGGACACATTCGTTTTTTCTTCGCGCGCGCACGCCGAAATCTCCAAAAACCATTGGGTTCTTAAGAATTTTACACCGCGCATCATAAAATCACACGAATCGCACCGTAGGTCCTCGAAAAACAGCTGCACGACTTTTCAAAATTTCCACCCGCGCGCGCTGTCCGAATCCTAAAAAAAAAAAACAATGGTTTCCCAACATTTATGTTACATGAGCTCGCGCGAGCTACTTTCGCACGCTCTTGCAACGGGGTTCGCGCGCCTGCCAGGGGCCACAAGGCTTCACAACTTCTGTGGGTTAACAAGGCTTAACAACTTCTGTGGGTGTACGAACGTAGGCTTCACAACTTCTGTGGGTGTGTGCTCCACGCCAGTGTAGTAGCCACGGTCGTCCGCAGGCCACGAAGTGAAGTGTCCGAACGTCATAGGGCGGGAAGCTGGGTGTGGGTGGTGGCGAAGAGTCGTGTGGATATTTGGTAGAGCTTGCACTGCCCCCCCACAAAGTGGGGGTATTGGCTGGCGTCGCATGAAAACCCTGGCACTGGTGAGAACACGGAGCGTTCGGGTAAAGTGATTGTTGCTGTTGTTGTTGTTGTTGTTGTTGTTGTTGGTGGTGGTGGTGGTGGTGGTGGTGGTGGTGGTGGCGGTGGCGGTGGTGGTGGTGGTTGATTTGGTGTTAGTGTTGTTGGTGTTGTTGGTGGTGTTGTTGTTGTTGCTGTTGTTGGTGCTGCGCTACGGTGACAAGCGCGGCTTGATCGCCAGGAAAGGGAAGGGGTCCTGCCGAGGGAAAAGGGGCCTTCAGGGGCAACGTTAGAATGGGGATGGGCTCAGGGGGGAATGCATCGACCCCTCATCGCCCATTCATCGTCGATAGGGGTCTGGCAGCCCGCCCCGCCCAGGATCGTGCGGACTCGCTCTCGGGGGCCTATCGCCAATGCGCCAGCGACGCATCGCCGATTCCAGGTCGATGTTCCCCCCCCCCTATGCCAGTCCCCCCTAGCTAGGGGGGGCGGCCTCGCACCCAGGCGTCCAGCGGACTGTTGTTTGTGGTTCGTCCCCGTCGGCCGCTCCTCGGTTCTGCCCCTGGGGGCCGTCTTCGGCCCCCGAGCCGCTCAAGCACGGATCTGGGTGAGAGATTTGCCCCCCCGGAAAGGGGTCGGGGCGAGGCCTCTGACCTTTGGGGCCCGCGGAGCGGCAAAACTTACATCACATGATGCTTGGGTGAGAATGCAGGGGGTCCTCTCAGAGGCCCCCACTCCGCCTCGCAAGAGGCCTTTTTGGAAGCCCCCGAGCCCTCTGAGAGCCCCCCCCCCCCCCCTGAGAAGCTTGTTTGGAGGACCACCTGCCCGGGGCCCACCTGATCAGCACATCCGATCGATTCCATTTGGGCTGTCATTCGGCCCTAGCCCGACTCACGTTCGACCCAAGTCGGCGGACGTTCGACGCAGCATCGACGCACGAGTGGAGCAAGTGGCTCCAGGAAGCCCCCAGGGACGGGCACTCCGACCCCCCGGCGCTCTCGGAGGCCCCTTCCCCCCCTCGCCCCGAAGCCTGCTCCCGCGCGCCGCCCGCGAAGAGGAGCACAGCGCCCTCTACTTCTGGCACACCCCGTCGGACCAGACCACGTGGGACCCTCCTGGCCCGCCCAGCCCCGCCGTCGACGCGCCCGAGGCCCTCGCAGCGAGCGCGGCCCTGGCCCGAGCGGGGCCGCAGGAGAGCGCCGCCGTGAGCGCGGGCGCGCTCGGGGCGGCCGGGCGTGCTGTGGAGCGCGCCGCCGCAGGGGCCGCGGGCGGCCGCGCCGGCGGCCGCGACGACGCGCGGGTTCATAGTGGCGCCGGCGTCGACGAGGAGCGGCCCGGAGAGCGAAGGGAGGAAGAGGTACACGTTAGTCGTTGAAAGTAGGTTCTTTTGGATGCCCGGCTCCCTGGAGGTAGGAAAGGGGTGTGGTGTAAAGGGGTGTGAACTTTGCGATGTTATGTATCGTAGATACCATCGCCATTTCCACGACTGGCACCACACTCCTTTATGCCAAACCCGTTTCAGCTTCTAATAATTCCGAATCCATTTTAGGCGTATTCCGACATCAAGAGTCGAGTGGTGTTCCCTCCTCCCTCTTCAGGGGGCGGGCGGAGATCCAACCTACTTCCAACGCCTTCCTACTGAATGTTTCTACCTGCACGTTTCTACCTACTTCTTCCGATCGATGGGTACGGCCGGACCGGGATATAGGGTCGAGGTCGGTTCGGGGAGGGTGCCCTCGTGTTCGTCGTGTTTGTTGTGTGTGTGTGTGTGTGTGTGTTCTTGTGGATTCTGGGGAATGGGGAATGGTACCATCGGTGATATATGGTTAGGGGCGTTTTGGCTGGAGGTTCTGATGTTCTTGAAGGTTGTTTCTTTATCTCGGGCTCAGCTGTACCACGACCGCTACCCTGGCCTCGTTTTCGCTTTTTGGTGCCGCATGGGAGGCCCTCGTGGCCACGGCTGGATTCGCCTCGACGCTCGGGTCAGAACGCATCCCAGGAGAGGTCCGTGGAGCAGCGGTGTCGGTATTTTCTTGCCCCCGAGAGGAGCGAGGAGGGGCTGCGGGGCAGAGGTTCGTCTGTTCGAGGCTCCGGTCGGACGAAGGGGGGAGCCCTGCGACCTTGGCGTTGCAACTATTCAACACCATGCAAGGGTGGTGCCAGGCCTCGCAATCATCATAGATCGATCCAGCTCGACGACCAAGCCTCTGCAAACGGGGTGTTCGCAAACGGGGTGGTGGCTGAGGGTACAATTTCAATTGTGCCTTTGAAGGGTTTGCTTGCCGCGCACAAGTGCGAGGTAATCCCCCCGCCCAGAGTTCTGATGATGTATCGACGATTTTGTCGTCCCGATTTATCACGCGCCAGTGCCAGGTCAATGCCTTGTCACCCTGTATTCGCTCGTAGAGGCATCTTTGCCACCACCCCGTTTACTTCTACCCCGTCTGAAGGGGCTTGGGAAGACTCCGCCGAAAGATTGCGCCCGCGGCTCCGGTCCAGTTCGTCTGTGATGTTGCAGGAGGGAAAGAAACACACAGACACAAATAATCGTCGATTCCCCAGAAAATATGGGAAAATATGGAAAGTGGGGGGGAAGACAGAAACCCAGAAACTATGAGAAACTATAGGGAATATGTTGTATTTGTGTGTATTTATTTGTGTGTCCCAGGGCCCCTTCAATGTTGCATGTTTCTCGCAACGTCGGACTTCAGTGTGGGGAGAGGGGGTGGTCAGGGGCAGCGCCAGAGTGGGGGTGGGCTCACAGGGGGGACCCGTCGGCTCACAAGCGCCCTTGGATCGTTCATAGTCAGGTGATCGCAAACATTCAGGAGGGGAAAAACACACACAGACACAATTAATCGCCGATTCCCAGAAAGTCTGGGAAAATATGGGAGGTTGGGGGGAAGACAAAACCCAGACAATGTTGGAAAATATGGGGAATCCTGTTATTTGTGTCTACTTATTTGTGTGTCCCAGGGCCCCTTCAAACATGTATGTGGGGGGGGGCGTGGATTGGCGACGGGTCCCGTTTGCATTGGAAATCGCGGCCCTGCGCCGCCGAGCGAGGCGGCAACGGCCGCATTTTGGGGAGGGCACTTCCCCCGATCCATGGATCCATGGGTCGCCAATCCATGTATGTGCGCCCCCGAAGGAGGAGGAGGAGGAGGAGGAGGAGGAGGAGGAGAAGGAGGAGGAGGAGGAGGAGGAGGAGGAAACCGAAAAATGCACGGGAAACGGACGTCCGAGCGACGGCAAGCTCCATACATTCGCTCCTTGGGAGGCGCCAAGAAAAGCCGTTGCGTGAGCCGATTCGCTCGCCCTCCCTTTGCCGTCCCTCACTCTCCTCCGCCCCGGGAGGCACTGGCGGCCCAAGGCTGAGTTCACGAAGTGCCTTCGTCTTCTGCATGGGGAGTGCGTCTGCGTCAGCTGGGAGGACGGGAGGGAGGACGGATGGGCCTACGGACGGGCGCTGGATGACCAGACAAAGGAGGGCTACTTCCCGCGGGCCGTTCTTCGGGAGCTGGAGGGCGAGTTGCGGCCCAGGGCGCCGGGAGAACGGCTATCGGTCTGCGACAGTTTCGACACGCCCGAATCCGTGGGCGGTTACGTCTTCGCCCAGCCGGGAGACACGCTGCGGGTGTTGCACCCGATGGAAGAGCCCTACGTGTGGGCTTACGTCGAGCGCGAGGGGCCGCCCGGAGTGTCAGAGCTCGGCTGGGTGCCGGCCATCATCTTCGGGGAGGCCATATAGGGCAGTGACGGGGAGCTGCCGCAGAGGCGAGAAGCTCGAGCGGCCCAGCTCGCGCAGGCCGAGTCCGGGCACGCCGCGGGTCGCCACGAGAGGGGAGGTAGCACGGAGCCCGGCAGGACAGCGCAGTTGCGGCAGGAGGAGAAGTAGGGTCGGGGGTTGCTAAAGGTACCCCTGGCCCAGGGTGCCCCCAGATTGTCGCACGAGTTTTGCCCTCCTGTCCTCGTGAGGGGTGCTCTGGAGGCCGGGGGGACATCCTTGGAGATCCTGGGGGCACCTTGGGCCAGGGGCACTTCTAGCAACACCCGAAGCTGCGGGAGGAGGAGAGGATAGGCATGGCGGCTTCGCCAAATCAGGGGCAACGTCGGTCGAATGAGGAAAGAGACTGCATAAACATAAGCTTTCGGAGATCCGCGCGGATCTCGTGGATCGGCGATGGGCCCCCCAGGCGCGCTTCGCGCGCCAGGGAGGGGGGTTCAGTGCAGATTGCGGACCTCCGAATGTTGATGATTGTCTTGTTTTCCCTTCCTCCTGTAATGGTTGGCGTTGCAAAGACAGCGTGCGATGTCGCGCCGCTGGCCCGCTTATCGCACTCCACCCCCCCTCCTGGATAGCGTGCAGCGAATAGTCCCTGACAGGGGGGCTGCCTGCGCAGAAGGGGCCCTCGGGGGGGGGGGGGGGGGGGGGAGATCGCCTCACAGGGACAGCGTGCTTTTCGGAGATCGGTGTTGCACGACATCTTTCCACCGCCAACCGTAGGGGAGGGGCATGGGCTCCGGGGGGACGCATCGACCCCCATCGCCCATTTAGCTCCGACGGGGGCCCGGTAGCCCGCCCCGCCAAGGGACGCGCGCCTTCGCTGTCGGGGGACCGCCGCCGATCTTTCGGCAATGCAGCGCCGATGCCTTGTCGATGGCTCCCCCCCGAGCGGCCCCCCCCCCCCCAGCACTGCCCCTCACTACATCTTCTGAGATGCCCGAATTCAACAACTGCTGGCCTGCACGTCATGCTATCTTATATTCAGCGTGGGACGGCCGGCCGTGAGCTACGATACGCTTGGTGCCCACAGGGATTTCGCTGGCGGGGATCCGCTTGCGGAGGGAACACACCCCATCGGACCAATGAAATACATCCCCAGAAAAATCGAAGGAAAGGATCCGGATCATGCCGCATGCGGTGCGCAGATGTTCTCGGATCTCATTTAGGTGCACTTGCGAGTATAATCAGTATGCTCAACTTTTTTGTTCTTAGTATTTCTACATATGGCCGACATCCGATTTGTGTCGGCGTTGCCTGATCGACCGGAACGAGACTCCATGATGACGAGTTCGGAATGGTAGGTCGGCGCTCTGGAGAGAGTCAGTAGAAGTGTCGAGTGTGCAGACAGGGTCGCGCAGTCCTGGAAGTTGGCAGCTCCTTCTGAAGCCCCATCACGGCATGCATTGCCGCGGACCAGCGCTCAGCTGCTGACCTGCATCTTCTGCAGTTCAGAATCGGGCAAGCATTTGGCACGCCGCCCTTGCACGAGCATGTCATTGTCATTTTAGGCGTCCTCGCCACTGCTGTCCATGCTCCCCTCCATTCCAACGTCTCTCACTGCATGGTAGCAGCGCGCAGCAGATTTGTACAGTATCTGTTGCCGCCAGGCTGTCTTGCAAAAGCGTGCCGAGCGCATGCGCCAGAGGAGAGGAACGCTGCTGTGCGCAGTGTTCTCGCTATTGCCACGCACACCCGGTCCTTTTGATTGATCCATCGCTGCGCGCGGTTCACCTCTTTCGGAGCCCGCGGCTTGAGACATATAAACACTAGCAATCGAGAGATGTACACCAGTCCTCCGACTCCAGAAAGGTGGACGGGTGAGTGTGCTTGCAGTTCCGGTGGCCCCCCGCGGCCCCAGCAGCCCATCCAGCTACGGTGCGCAGGCGGGAAGAGGGAAGCAGACAGCCACACAGTGCAACAACGAGGCCAAACATATTGAATTTCGAGGCCTCTCGTAGCCTCTTGGGGGCCTCTTGGGGCCATCTTAAAGGTCTGTTGGGGCCCGTGTGGGAGCCTTTGAGGCCCTCTCGATGGGCCGTGGAGATCCTGTTGGAGCCACCCTGGAGGCCATCGACACGAAAAGGGCGGTCCCCAATTAGGGCTCCCCACTTGGAGCCCGAAAGTTCGCCTCAGCCCGGAGCTTCTCCTCTTGGGCCCTTTTGGGACGCGCTCAGGGCGCTCAGTCAGACCTTCGAGGCTGTCTTGAAGCGCTTCTGAGTCCCTCTCCCGGCTCTCTTGGTGGATCTTGAAGCCCTCTTGAAGGAGGCTACAGGGGCCGTTCTGAAGCGAAAAGTGGAGACGGCAGCGAATCACTGCAACCCCCTCTAAGTGTTCCGATGATTTTGCATGTTGTCCTCTCGGGTACATCCTTTGGATGCTCCGTTGCCACTTAGGGGCCATCTTGGGGCCTCTTGACTGTCGAGGAGCCCTTCGGGACCATCTTGGAGGGCATCCTGGCCATCTCGGATGCGTCCGAGAGTGAGTTGGTAAACCTCTGGGGAGGAGGAAACGAAGAGGAGGACATCCAAGCGTCTCAAACGTCTGCGAGAGTGCGCGCGCCCCGTAAGCACTAATACACTACCCGTCGGTCGTTGAAAGTAGGTATTTCTGGGTTCCCAGATCCCAATCGATTTCTACTCTACTTGAAGAATCGGTTATGCTTTGGTATTATCTGGGAGGGCTTGCACCCAATCTACTTTATCCGCCTACCTACTTCATGTTTCTGCCTACTCCTTCCGACCGACGTGTGCGAGCTCGGCAGGGGGGGCACGGCCGTAGTGGTTGGAGCCCCTGGGACCCCCTGGGCCGCGCATGATGCCATGCGGAAGCCACCTGCACCTCCCGAGAGGTCCAGGGGGCAGTCTGCGCCAGGGGCACCTACTGGCAGCACTCCACGTGAGGCGCTCCAGACAGGGCCTCGCCTGCGAGGGCCGAGGGCGTTGGCATCTCTTCCTCGGCAGAGGGCGGCGGACGGTCGGCGGAAGGCGGCGAAAGCAGAACGAGGGCGCCTCCGTCGGCGGAAGGCCGGCGGAAGCCGGCGGAACATTGAGCGTCGGTACGTACCCCAAGAGATGGCCAGGTTTCGGGGTCAAGGGTTTTCGGGGCCGGCCAAGTGTCGGCGGCACAGCATGTTTTCATCGATCGTTTTGACATTGTTTTGGGGTGGGCGTTGCCGAACGCCCAGGCTCGAGCCGCGACGCCCTGTCGGCGGCGGCGTTTGCGGCGACAGCGACGACCACGACAGCGACGACGACGACAGCGACGACGACGACAGCGACGACGACGACGACGACGACGACGACGACGACGACGACGACGGCGACGTGTTTCGAAGTGTTTCCACGGCATCGCGGGGGGCGAGGCTCGCTCCCCGCGGCGGGCAGCGCTCGCGGTCGCCGAGCCGAGGCCCTGGCACGCACGCCGCCCCGCAGGCCGGCCCGCCCCGCCAGCCCCGGGACACGGCTCTGGCGGAGCAGGCCAGCGGTCGGCCTCTGCGGGCCGTCCTGCCGCGCACGGCAGCGCGGGGCCGAGGCGTGCCCTCCACGCCTCGGCCACGCCTCCCGCGCGCGTCTCCCGAGCGCGAGGAGGCGGTCCTCGTCCAGCCCGTGGGCCTCGGCGGCCTCTCCTGGAGCGGCTGCAGCGGCAGCGAGCCGCCGCAGGCGGCCCCTCCTCGCCCAGGGGCTCCTCCGCCTCGGGCGCGCCCGCCTCTCGGGCGCCTCCTCCCGCCTCTCCAGCGGGCCTCTCGCGGCCTCCTCGAGCTCCTGCCACGTGGCCGCGGCGACCCCGTCGAGGCAGTCGCACCTGCAGGCCCCCATTCGACGGCAGCGGGTGGAGCCCCATCTTCTGCCTCATCGGCTGCTCCTTGCAGCCCTGACGAGGACGAGGGCGAGGACGAGGACGAGGACGGGGACGGCGGCGGCGTTTCTCCTCGTCTATGGGTGCGTTGCCACCCGCGCGACCCCATTTGCGCAACCCGCGCTCAAGTTCAGGTTTGCCTCTTGATCCGACGTCACGAAGAACTTGCCACGTCGTAAGACAACTCCGTGAGAGGCCTGGACCCCACCCTTCTGCGGCGTCTTTCGAGTGGGATCGAGGGCCCCCCGACTCGAAGCAGTGCAAACTCGCCCATTGCGACACAAATGCGACGCCAGGATCTCAGGGCACCCGACGTATTGGGCCCTCTTGGGACGCGCTTGGGGCGCTATGGGGGACCGTCAAAGGGCTGGGGCTCTCTTTCCCATCTTGAGGCTAAAGAGACCCATCGGAAGCGAAAAGGCGAGAAGGCCGCGAAACACTGAGACATCTTCTATATCTTCTATGTGCTCCAGCCTCCTCCTTCTCCTCCTCCTCTTCCTCCTCCTTCTCCTCCTCCTTCTCCTTCTCCTCCTCATCCTGATCCTCCTCATTGTTACCTTCCCCCCCGGCCCCCCCCCACGCGCCATCCCCGCGGGGGGGGCCTCCGTGCAGGGCGGCGTGGTGTGGCGGTGGAGCTGCTGCGGCGAGGAGGGTCTCTCTGCTTCCTCCTCCGGGGTGGGAGGAGGGAGGAAGGAGGAGGAAGGAGGAGGAAGGAGGAGGAAGGAGGAGGAAGGAGGAGGAAGGAGGAGTGAGGAGTGAGGAGTGAGTGAGTAGTAGTAGTAGTAGTAGTAGTAGTAGTAGTAGTAGTAGTAGTAGTAGTAGTAGTGGTAGTGGTAGTGGTGTAGTAGTAGTAGTAGTAGTCGTAGTCGTAGTCGTAGTAATAGTAGTAGTAGTAGTAGTAGTAGTAGTAGTAGTAGTAGTAGCAGTAAGGTAGTGGTGGTAGTGGTAGTAGTAGGCGTCGTAGTAGTAGTCGTATTAGTAGTAGTATTTGTAGTAGTCTTAGTAGTCGTAGTAGTAGTAGTAGTAGTAGTAGTAGTAGTAGTAGTAGTAGTAGTAGTTGTAGTAGTAGTAGTAGTAGTAGTAGTAGTAGTCGTAGTCGTAGTATAGTA